GAGCTCGTGGTTCCCACACTGTTGATGTGTGGGGTCCTGTCCTAACGGCAGGAGAACACTGAGCGTGGAAGTCTAACACAGATAATTGCTCCCTTTTTTGACTTCACAGCAGCTTCTCAGAGCAGCAGTCGCTCATGCTGCAGCAGACCTTTTTGAACACGCTCAGGATGAGTTTCAGACTCCTGAACCTTTCAGAACAATTGTGGCTTTGGTCAGCACTGGAGAAACAGTGGTGAGCTGGAGAATGTATGCTGTTTCCTCTTTGCAGGGACTCTGGAGAGACATGTAATCAGAAGCTCATTTTAGGTCATAACCAAACACTAATGCCTTGGGGGGTTGTGGGACTTGATTCTTTGATTCTATCCTAAGTAATAAAAAAAAAAAAATCTCACTGCAGTAGCAGCATCAAAACAGTATTTTGTTCAATGTTTACTACACACGGGAAGAAAAATTAACAGAAATATTGGCATTTTATGATGATGTAATACAAGGTGCATGTGAAACGGCGAGGAGCAGTTACTGTATTCTCAAGGCTAGATCTCTCTTCACTGCTCTGGATGAGGAGTGTGTGTAAAGAGGAATGTAAAAGATCACAGCACTCTGTGGCATTAATCATGGCAAAGCAGAGATAGCTTGTCATACACGTTATCTGAAGTATTATACATAATGTACTAAAGATATCCATATCTTATATTAAACATTTGTTCTAGGAGTCATCCAAGTGACAGCTTAATGTACTGCTTACTGCTATGTGATAACACTTCCTATTCTTTTTGTTCCTTCACTCTCTAAAGCTGGTAATAATAATGCAAAATGAACATTTCCAGTTCTGTCAAGAGTTTTAAACCCATGCGTTTCTAGCACCACCCACTACTTTTAATCCTAATAGGATTTTTAACTGTTTTTGTCTGTGCTTTTTTTCCCCAGGACTACTAAATTTTAAAAGAAAATCTTTCTTAAGTAAATGGAAGATGGAGTTCAGGTATATCCGTCCGTTTCTTTGTTGAACATAACTGGTATCTCCTATGCCAAGTGCTCTTTTTGCTTCTGTTTGGTGTCTTGAGCAAACTGCTAAGTTGCTTTAAAAGTTAGAAAGTGAGCAGCCAATATTTTACAAAAAGTTGTCATTTTTAACTTTATAAAAGTCCTTTACAGAAGTGACAGAATTACATTGTAATGAGGCGCTCTTTCTGAAAAAGCTTTTGCAGTTTCTGATAGTCCTTTCATGCCATAAATAATTTGCTAATCATTTAAACAGTGAGAAACTACTTTCAGTGGAGTTGGCTTTTGAAATCTTAATTAAGGGCTTTTTGTTTGAACGTTTGTGAGGATAAGAGACATTTACACGAGTAGGTACAGTGAATAGGACAAATGGCAGGCTTGCAGGATGTCGTGAATGACTGAATGGGAATGAACAGATGTCCAAGGCAAGAAAATAAATATGAAGTGATTGTCAGCCTGGATGTTTCAGGTTCTAGCAGTGATGCCCCAGGTTTTGCTTCTTTTTTCAGGGTATACAGCTGGCAAAGTACCGACTGAATGGCGTTGCAGAAGTGCACAGGCATTTGTAGTGAACTTTGTAGCTGCTGTGCCGGGTTGTGACTCCCCTAGTTTCTTTCTAGAGGGAGCTAGCTTGTTTGCCCGGCAGTGGGGAGGGTGCCTGGCCCTCACCACTCTTCCATGAGCGCCAGCCCAAGGACGGTAGCTTGTAGCAGCAGGGGCAGCAACAGCTAATTGCCTGCAAGGTGCAGGGTTTGACACCAGTAATTTGTAAGTCAAGTTTCAGGCTCTCAGCCTTCCTTGTGTGGTTTCAGTGGAACCTCTAAGACAAGGCACGGATTTGCTCACTGAGTGAGTAAGAGGGATTTAGTGCCACCGCTGGGAAGCAGCAGATAAAGGGAGTAAGTTCTCCCCATAGCGTGCTAGAGCAGCCTCTCCCAGCCCTCTGCCTTTGAGATTAAGGCAGGGCCTCACCCTGCAGTCCCAGAGACAGCAGCACTGTTGGGTGCTGACAGGTGGTGAGTGATCTCCTCTTCACTCTTCGCGTGATATATTTGGGGACAAGGAGCTCTGTCCCTGCTATTCATGTATCCCTCTGAAGAGGGAGGTTCTGCCCACGATGAGCAAATGAGGGGGGAGAGGTGTAAAATGACTTGATTTTTTCCTTTGCTTTTTCATCCTCATTGTTTTAGTAGAGAAATAGTAATAGTCAGTTTAGCCTTAGCATCTTGAGAACTGGTAATCATCACTGATGTGTAGTAAATGCCTTCTGAGAACAGAAGGCATAGACAAGGGAGTGAATCATAGATTTCCTACTGAGAACTGAGCTACAAGCAGTAAGAAAGAACTGAAAGAAAAGAGGGTTCTTTTATAAACAGACTTTAATAAACCACTAAGTTTTGCAATCTCCTATAACAGGGAGAAAAAGAAGAAACAAAAAGAAAATTGTAAGATGGGCTAGTTGAGCTAGATAGATGACATATTTCTTAGCTGCAGGTCTGGACTTACTGAAAGATCATTCCACTTCTCCTCCGCCAAATATTTTTATTCGCCTAGTTGGGTTCTCTTCCTCTTCCAACTTGTCCACGTCGCATCCTTAGTAAGGAAGAGAGCTACTGACCTGCTAAATCGGATATTCTCTCTATGCACATATATGTGCACATACTTTTAGACTAGCTTTTATGCTTCTCCCCGCCATGTTCAAGTTTTGTTCATTTATGATCCCAGCTATCAAACTATATAAAAAACAGACCTGTAATCTTAAAGCCTATTTATACTATTTAAAGCATTGTGTGACCATAGTCAAGCTGTAGTCAAATCAGGGTTCTCAAACATGTTGTAAACCCAAATCTCCTTTTTTAAACTTCGAATCGAACTTTAGTATAGTCACTGCCTACTCCGTCAACAAAAATTCTGCCAGATAGATACACTGATCCTTTTGGGAACAGTGACATTCAAGTTCCTCTAAACATGGTTATCACAACGAAAAAAATCAGGCCTTGTTCCTTCACTCTCATTGGCACTTTAAAAACATGCTTGGGGATAGGCTCCAGGGCAAACTGAGCTAACAAATTCAGTACTTTTCAAAAACTTAATATCTGTACTGCTAGGGCCCACTTTTTCCTATTAAAACGCTGTAATTGATGCTGGGTATGAAGTCCACAAGCCTTAACTGTGAGGTAAGTAGTGACTTGTTAAACTCTGACGCAGTCTTCTGAAGGCCTCAGTTTGCCTGAATGTTAGTTAAAGTGGCAGATAATTAACTCATGGTTTTTTTGAGTTCACTGCTACATTAATAAGGGCTTACAGCTGATCAGTTTATGTAAAGAGACTTTCTGTTCCTACTGCCTTACTTTAAGATAAGAACTTTCTGCTTTTCTGATAGCCTATTCCATTTTGTATTTTTCAGGTAGTTTTTTATCTAATAACATAGGATTTTGAAGCAGATTGTGGGATTCTTTCTCTTTAATCACTACTGGCATGGTTTTTATATTGTTGTTTTCTGTATATAACCGAATATATTATTTTCTTCCCTATAATTCAAACTCAGTGGGCCCAAAAAGTAAATACCAGGAACTTCGATTTCATTAATGCGGAAGGGCCGTAACAGGACATAAAACATAATAGGACATAAAACCAATAGATTTTACAAACATTTTTGCAAGGCAACTAAAACCTTGTGTCTGGATGGTTTTAAAAAGTAATAAAATTCATTGTACACTGTTTTCATTTTTTACTCTTATTGCCTGTAATTTTTAGGCTTACAATAGAAAATAAATTTTATTTAAGAAATAAGGATGAGGTTGTTTCTGAAACAGGCAGCATTTTCTTATTTCTCTAAAATTCTGACTAGGTGTGTAAAAAGGCAGTATTTTCATGATAGACATGAGTTAAAAATTATGGTTCTGTAACTCAAATGTTATCAGAGTAAATTAGTGATTAAGAATTAATGCTGGTCTGCATTTCAGATAATCTTTTTTTTTTAAACATGACTAGTGAACTATATTGTGCATGATATTCTTACATGGCAGCTGTGCCTCTGTGCAAATTAGAATGGGAAAAAGTCTTTTTTTCCCCAAAAGTCCAGAAGGAACATATTGAAACATAAAATGTTCACATATTAAAAAGAGTAAGTATTCTTAAATATATTGGAATTTAAATGAAGAAAGTTGAAACAACATGCTTTTGCCCTATTGAAACAAGTCAAAACTATTAGGCTTCTTTTGGATTCCAAACTTTGGTGAAATAGGCCTGCTTTTACAAAGTGTTACCAGAGTTAGGCTTGTTGGTTTGTTTGATGGAATTACTTCTTTTCTGGTGGAAAGTTCTTTTCCCAGAATATTCTGACCAACTGTTATTTGAAGTATCTACAGGCTGTTTTACAGCCAGTCCTTTTCTTACCCCAAAGCAGATGTTGAAAGTAGTCTTATTTATGCTGCCCTGATAGCAGAACCAGGCCTCTAGGTTAAGATGCTTGGAATTAGAAGCACACAAAACTTGCAAAGATTCCGCAAACCAGACAGGCTACTACTCTGTTTAATTCATAGGCATATAAAGCTGTTAATATTGTATACACAGACGAAAACTTTTTTCTGTATTTGTTTGTCATGGATGGAACCTGTAGGACTATGATCTATTCTAGAAACAGTGAGACATTAGTTTACCACTACTGCCATTTAGTGGTCTGTAGATGATCAGCTGGTATATTACTGTGTAGTTTCTCCTCTATCATTTTACAGCACTCTAGCTAGTGCTTCGCTCCAGCATTGAATCCAGCATTTTACATGCTAGAGAGAGCTA